TCTCAGGCCTGTGCGAGACCTGCTTTGAGGCAGTAACTCCTGTTCCCTCACTCGAGGTGACCCCTACACCGGTGTCTCCCTGTGGAGGTCAACCTGTATTCATGAGGCCTGTTATCAGTTCTTCCTTTCTACAGCTGCTTGGAGCAGCCTGCGAGAAGACGACCACAAATCATGGGAACAGGAAGTCTCAGCCAAATAAGGATGGCAGGCAGTGATGAGCCAGTCACCTGACCAGGAAGAGGGAGGAGGCTCAAGAAAAAAACATGTATCAACATGTCGTAGTTTGCTTGTAAAATGATTCTTTGTCTATTTTATTTTTTATGTAGAAGAGGAGGTGTTTGTAACATTATATCCTATACATAATAATGAAATGAAGCAATATGTAATTAGTTCCTTGGCTAGATACAGGGAAAGAGGAGTCTGCATGTTTATGAATAAACATCACAGAAGTATAAAAAAACCAATGCACAACAGAAAACAAGTTTTTTTTTTGGATCTTTGCTATAGGACGCAGGCTGCAGTTTACCACTGCTCGACTCTCCTGTTGTCCTTGGGTCATTTTGGCCTGAGGACGACAGGAGGGTTTAGATCAGCTGCATTTATCTTTGTTACATTACTTTGTCTGTTTAATTTTTTGATTACCCCCAGTGCCTTTCCATCAAGGAGCTTTTTAACCACCTCTGTGACCTCAGCACCAGAGATGGGAGAGTCCAACCCAGGGTCCTCAGAAGATGTGTCGGTAGGATTGAGGAGGCCTTTGAATTCTGCCCACCGACCCACAACATCCCGAGTTGAGGTCAGCAGTGCACCATCCCTACCAGTATTGGTGGCGAACCGCTTTCCTCCCCGAGACGCTGGATGGTGGACCAGAATCGCCTCAAAGCCATACAGAAGTCTTTTTCCACGGCCTCTCTGAACTCCTCCCACGCCCGAGTTTTTGCCTCAGCAAACACCCGAGCCGCGATCTGTTTGGACTGCCGATACCTATCAGCTGCTTCCGGAGTCCCACAGGCCATAAAGACCTGATAGGACTCCTTCTTCAGCCTGATAGCATCCCTCACCACCGGAGTCCACCAGCAGGTTCGAGGGTTGCCGCCTCGACAATGGAGGCACGGAACATGACCCACTCGGACTCAATGTCCCCCACCACCCCCCAGAACGTGTTGGAAGTTCCCCCAGAGGTGTGAGCTGAAGCTCTGTCTGACAGTAGACTCTGACAGATGTTCCCAGCAGACCCTCACTACACGTTTGGGACTGCCAGGTCTGACCGGCATCCTCCCCCACCAATGGAACCAACTCACCACCAGGTAATGGTCAGTTGACAGCTCCGCCCCCTCTTCACCCGAGTGTCCAAAACATGTGGCCGCAGATCAGATGAAATGACAACAAAGTCGATCATCAAGCTGCGGCTTATGGTGTCCTGGTGCCAAGAGCACATGTGGACACTTATGTTTGAACATGGTGTTCGTTATGGACAATCCATGACGAGCACAGAATTCCAACAAAAAAACACCACTCGGGTTCAGATCAGGGGGCCGTTCCTCCCAAACCACGCCTCTCCAGGTCTCACTGTCATTACCCACGTGAGCGCTGAAGTCCCCCAGCAGAACGAGGGAGTCCCCGTTAGGAGCTCTCTCCAGCACCCCCTCCAAGGACTCCAGAAAGGGTGGGTAATCTGAACTGCTGTTAGGCTCATAGGCACAAACAACAGTCAGGACCCGTCCCCCCACATGTGAGCGGAGGGAGGCTACCCTCTCATTCACCGGGGTGAACCTCAACGTACAGGTAACGAGATGGGGGGGCAATAAGTATGCCCACTCCTGCTCGGCACCTCTCAGCATGGACAACCCCAGAGTGGAAAAGTGTCCAACCCCTCTCGAGGAAACTGGTTCCCCTACGGCCCCTCCCACAGGTGGTGAGCCCATGGGAAGGAGGAGCCACGTCTCCTCTTCAGGCTGTGCCTGACAGGGCTCCATGGGTGAAAGCCTGGCCACCAGACGCTCACCAACATGCCCCACCTCCAGGCCTGGCTCCAGAGTGGGGCCCTGCTGACCCGCGTCCGGGCGAGAGAAAACTGAATCCATCCATTGTATTCATCATAGAGGTCTTTGGGCTGCACTTTGGACCTGTTTGCCTTGGGTGACCCTACTGGGGGCATGAAGCCCCTGACAACATAGCTCCTAGGATCATTGTCCACAACTGGTAGAGACTTAATTGCTCTTTTAATGAATATTGGCAAAGCAGTGCAAAGCATTCAGTAACTGAAGAAGATTAGGTAACATTTAAGTCACATCAACGATGAGAAAAATCTGTGCCTAATCAAGCTGCATTAATTTAGCCAGAATATTTGGATGAAGATTGAGAATGTAGGATCTTTCAAACTTATGAGCTGAAATGTCCTTGGTCTTGTGGTTCCAGATTTAGTTCACAAGAAGGTCTTCATGATGTCCACTTGTCCGATTACTTGATGACATTTTGTGATCCTTGAGAAAGATTTTGAATTTGATGCTCAAATCTTCAGCTTGCACGTCTTCCAGAAATCTTCAGTTTTTAACATGAACGCATGAATAAAAAAGCTTTTCCTTTACTTTTTGTCTTTTAAACCTTAGTTCGTCTTTTATGGGACACAGTTAATTTCACTTTGTTTCAACATTACAGCAATGTAAAAAAAAACTAATTTTGAGATGATTATAGCAAGGCCATGGATTGATCTTACCATATCTTGACAGCCGACTTACACAATTATCACTGGATTTATTGCACAATCTTGCATTTCCTGTACATGCTTCAGAGAGCTCCTCACACTGGGCCAACACTGGCACCAGAGTATATAAATTTAGAGTAGGAAACACAGCGTGCGAACGAAGCAGGAGGAAATGTGATTTTATCAGTAATAAGTAAAAAGCCCCAGAAACCCAAGGAAATCAGTTTTCACCAACATAAACCTAAAGAGGACAAGGGGACATGCACAGGACGACATGTCGGAATTTGGACTATTTATAGCTGTCCTTTATAACCAGGGTTGCACATAAAATGTTTGGTCTGGTTCTGAGGGGAGAACCTAGGGTTGTTGCTTGGTGCTCACTCATATTTTCCTTCACTCATTTAACACATTTATCTAGAGGGGCGTCAGGGCATCTAACGTCCCCCTGTTCTGTTTTATGACTCCTATCTACTGCAACGTCTCAGGACATCATGCCAAATCAGTCCAACAAGTTTTTTATTTTATTCTTTTACTCTGCATAAATTTCGTAAACTACCTAAGTGTTCGAGGGCCTGGGTGTATGTCATATAAACATCACAAACTGAACATTTCATGGTTAAATGTCTTGTAGACTAACATGTCCCTCAGATGGACAGCTCCTGTTTGGTCTTCTGGATCTTTGGCCTTAGTTAAACCAGCTTTCCACACTCTTCAGTCCAAGCAGAAAATATCTGTCTTTTACACAGAGCAAAATAACTTAAAACATACAAATGTTTTATTTGTTAGACTGATTTATTTTTTAAAAGACTATTTTATTCAAAAATATTTTATTTTTTAGATGGTTTCAGCTCATGTAATTATTTATTCTTCGTATTTGATTGTTTAATAAATTACATTTATYCCAGAAAASCTGTGTCACAGTATGGTCCTAAATATAAACAAGTTTAGCATATCAAGAACCTTGTTTTTTTTTATCTAAAATTGTGAATGAAATTTGTGGATCTTTATGATAAATTAAAATAAGATTTAAAACTCTTTCACCTAGAGAACATGGCAAGTTGTTTTTTTAATATATATATATTTTTTTGACTAGGGTGTTAAACAGAGAATCATCTTTGCTTTAATATGGGGCAAACAAATGTTCTGTTAGTTAATGTGGTTTAATTAGAAGAACTCAGTGAATCTCACAGACAGCCTGCACGCACAGCGACATGCTCATACAGCAGTCTCTCAGGAGGAGAGTTTAGTCATGCACGCAAAGTTGGACAGATCTGTTTGATAACAATATTCTGAACATATATTTAATACAAAGTTAGGTTTTACAGACCAAAGTCTCTGGTAAGTCAGGAGCAAAGTGCAGGAGGAGAGGAGAATCCAGGACTGATCGCGTCGCTGCAGCAGCTCGAGTCGAGCCGGTCCGCTGCTTCAACCAAAACTGCTCTCACTGAAAGTCCCGCCCTGCTCTGCTCTGATTGGATAAAACAGCTCTGGACTTCGTCTGATTTGTTGAAGGCAGTGTCCGTTTAATCCTTATATCAGGGTCCAGCTGTGGCGCACCGAACTATCCATTCACACCAGTGCGGCTGGATTCTTTTTTTTTTTAAGAAGTCAGGTCACCTTTGCGATCAAACTTGTCTCACTCTAGAGCCCTGCTAGCTGTTGTTTTGACAAACAATCAGGTACAAGCTTAGGTACGCAAGGGAGCTTTATGACATCCCATCTGGTGCACGTTCTCCTTTTTTGACAGCGCAAGCGCACCTGCGCACTGCTTATTTGCAACTCTGTTTATAAGCATCTTAACAAGAATGTAAAATCTTCAGGATTTGTAAAGTCAGACTGTATCTTGATTGGTAGGGACAGGCAATAATTGTTAAAAATTTCAAACAAAAATTTAAAAAAACAGAAATCAGTGGAACTCAATGCTGCAAGGATTGAAAACACCCCAACTTCTGTCAAACAGTATAAAGTCCTGTATGTTTTATTCTCAACAATTCCCTGCATTTGTCTGGCTTGAATAAAACATGTTTGATCCAAAACCAATGTATCTTGTAAACAGTTGTGAAATATCAGTACTTTCTTTTCACACATAAACAATGGGTTTGAGGGAAAAAAAACAACTGTTGTGAATTCTACAATTTGAGTGCCAGTACCTACTGATGGTTATTGATTTAGGGGAGATAGGGCTGTATTTATATTTGTAAAGCTGAATGTTAAATATTCACTTTTTTCTTTTATTTTAAAGCCAAATGCTGGGGTTGTCACTACTTCAGAAACCATTTTCATTTTCAATTTATTTTCAATGTTACTTGTTATCATCCTCCCCTTGGGCTGCCACCTTATCGTGGTGGAGRGGTTTGAGTGTCCCAATGATCCTAGGAGCTATTCCGAAGGTGTGGCAGCTTCTACTCAGCCGTGGCGGTGCACCACGATCAATTACATGTAGGGGAAACCCTGGAGTCCTATCGGGTCTTTTTGGCCTGTGGGACTCCGGAAGCAGCCGATAGTCAAGACCTCCTACCGACACGTCTTTCCATGAAGAAGCAGAGCCTGAGGACCCTGGGTCGAACTATCCAATCTCTGGTGCCGAGGTCACTGAGGTGGTTAAAAAGCTCCTCAGTGCCAAGGCACCGGTGGTGGGTGAGATTCACCCAGAGTTCTTTAAGGCTCTGGATGTTGTGGGGTTGTGTTGGTTGACACGACTCTACAATATTCAAATTCAAAATCAGTTCAAAAATACTTTATTGATCCTAGAGGGAAATTAGGTTATATATATTGCGTGGACATCGAGGGCAGTTCCCCTGGATTGGCAGACCGCGATGGTGGTCCCTCTATTTAAAAAGGGGAACCGCAGAGTGTGTTCCAACTATAGGGGGATAACACTTCTGAGCCTCGCTGGTAAGGTCTATTCAGGGGTTCTGTAGAGCAGGGTCCATCGGATAGTCGAATCTTGAATTCAGGAAGAGCAGTGTGGTTTTCGTCCTGGTCGTGGAACAGCAGACCAGCTCTGCACCCTCAGCAAGGTCCTGGAGGGTTCATGAGAGTTTGCTCAACCAGTCTACATGTGTTTTGTGAACTTGGAGAAGGCGTTCAACCGTGTCCCTCTGGGACTCCTGTGGGGGGTACTCCAGGAGTATGGGGTACCAGGCCCGTTGATACGGACTGTTATGTCCCTGTACGACCGGTGCCAGAGCTTGGTCAGCATTGCCGGAAATAAGTCAGACTCGTTTCCGGTGATGCTATTACTATATATACAGTATGTATTAGCTCAGCGCTGCACATTCTCCTCTTGTCACGGAGGTCCTCCATCCACATGACAGAGGAGAAGGTAGAAATGACTCAGCCTGCAACTGAAAATRTGGATGGAGGACCTCAGTTTAGCTTGTTAGTTTTTGCACTAGTGCCGAGCTAATACATAGCAATATAACGTTCGTGCTAAAGCTAACAGGCTAAGCTGAGGTTCTTCTTCCATGAAGCAGCTCTGTTGTCCTCCATCCATATTTTCAGTTSCAGGCTGAGTCATTTCTACCTTCTCCTCTCTGTCAACGCTCTCTGGATTCATTTAGTGATGTCAGATATTGTCCAAGATTAACCTTCAGGGTGGATATAGCTCGCTAGCAGCCTCGCACCGAGGACCTAGTTGATGTCATCATTTACCCAGAATGCTTTGTGTGTAAATAAAATGGTTCTGTCCATGTTAAAATATATTTTTAAAAATTTACTAAACTTAACAGCCTACAGAATTTTTGCATATTACATTTTAGTTTTGACTTAGTAGTCTTACCTGGCGGCATGTACTCCCACCAGTGACCAGCACACAGATCCACCACTTTGATCACTCGTAGGTACAGACTCACAGCTTCTCGAAGCTTTCTAGACAGACACTCCATACACATGATATCCTTCATGGGAAGGTACCTGCAAAACAAAGAATGAAAATGACTGGGTATCACGCTTAACTCAATTAAAATTCAAAAATACTTTATTAATCCCAAAGGGAAATTAAATGAGGGATTAAATTTAATTAAGGCACCTTTGTACAAAAATTTTAACTCATGGGTTGTTTACTTTTTCCTGTTCTTCCCTGGTGAATTGTTAAGAAATAATAGTTCTCTGCTGTAATTTTAAGAACTTTCCTTTTTGCCAGTCTTTGCTTTTTGATAAATCTGGAAACTTCTATTAGAGTGTAAGGTAGAAGAGATGATAACTTGGTTGGTGATGGCTGATGTTCGTGGTAAGACGTATTGTGTCACTTCCTGTTTTGCTGCTGGTAGCGGTTAGAGGTTCTCAAGCAGTCCCCGTGCAGCCGGCACCCGAGGCCGGCTGGGTGACGGTTCGGAGTAGGCATAGTTCTAGGGCCAAGGCCAAGCCCCCAGTTCACCACCACAGTTCACGTTTCAAATCAATTTTCCTCCCTCGGTGACTCACCCGCTGAGAAACAGACACTGGTAATCGGCAGCTCCATAGTCCAAAACGTGGCACTAGGGACTCCAACGACCATGGTCAAGTGCATTATCGGGGCCAAAGTGGGTGACATTGAATCCTACCTGAAGCTGCTGACTAAGGCTAATCTAAGTACCGTAAGATTGTTATTCACGTCAGCAGTAATGACACCCAGTTACGCCAATCGAAGGTCAATAAAATTAATGTTGCTTCGGTGCGTAACTTTGCCAAAACTATGCATCGATCTCACTTTAGCTGGAGCCGTTCGACTTTCTATGAAACTGGGATGACTTTGTTGACCACAGAAATTATTGACAATCCAGGGTCCAGACCAGGAAGCAGAGTTATAGTCTTACACACCTCTCTGCTGCTTCTCCTCTGCTACCCACCCAAAACCCATTAAAAATGTGTCAGCCCACCCATGGACCAAACTAAATAAATATAAAAACTTTAGAAAAATAAATCATAAAAATCTTATAAAAATAAACACAGTTACTTTAACAGAATAAAACAATTAAACTAGTAGGTGTGGTTTCTTAAACATCAGATCTCTTTCTTCTAAGTCTCTGTTAGTTAATGGTCTGATAACTGATCATCATATTGATTTATTCTGTCTTACTGAAACCTGGTTACAACAGGAGGACTTTGTTAGTATAAATGAATCCACTCCTGTTAATTATTTAAATTGTCATGTTCCTAAAACAACAGGTCATGGTGGAGGAGTAGCTGCAGTTTATGTCAGAATTATTAATTAATGGTAAATCAAATATTAGTTATAATTAATTTGAGTCTTTGTCCCTCAGTCTTTCTTATCCAAAATGGAAACCAGACAAACCTCTGTTACTTGTTATTATTTATCGTCCTCCAGGCCCTTATTCTCAGTTTTTATCAGAGTTCTCAGATTTTCTGACTGATTTATTATTAATTACTGATAAAATTATAATATTGGGAGATTTTAATATTCATGTTGATAGTGAAAGTGATAGCTTAAACATAGCTTTTAGTAATCTAACTGAGTCAATTGGTTTTACTCAAAATGTCCACAGAYCTACTCACTCCCTTCATCACACTCTTGATCTGGTTCTGATGTTTGGTGTGGAGAGTAAGAACTTAATACATCCTCACAATCCTGTTCTCTCTGACCATTTTTTAATAACTTTTGAGTTTACATTAACCAACTTCATAACCACTGAGAGTAAATTTCATTATAGTAGATGTTTATCAGAGAATGCTGTAGCTAAATTTAAAGAATCTCTTCCATCTTTATTTTCCTCGCGCATTCCTACCTGTTACTGTGAAGGGATTCAATTTATACCATGATATGAATCTGAGGTCATACCGCCCAGCCCTAATGTGAATATTTGACTGCGTGATCACATCCTAATGTTAAGGACTCCTCCTGATAATTAATAATAATATTAATACTTTACTGCAATAAATTATTAGAATTAATAAGTGCTGGGCACATTAAAGCGTTATCGCGTTAACGCAGCCGACGCATAGCGGCAGTGTTTTTTAACACACGTTAATGTGGTTTCTTTTCTCCGTCTGATCTCTGTTTTCTAGTCTGCCTATGAAAACACACAGACACACACAAACCCAGTGGTTGCTGCAGGGAGGCGGGATCTTGATCGCTATTGGCTTTAGGTAGCCTTCATCGTATGTCTCATCAATAAACAAACTTTATTGGCACAAATATCAGGTAAAACTATGCAGCAGCACCGACACAACCATAAAAGACTCAGATTATTTTGAAACTGAGACCTTTAAAAGACGTACATGATCAGATTTTGTTTGTAATAAACTAAGGGACTAGAGTCCTGCGACTCAGCAGCAGCTTGAGTGACAGCAGCACGTCTGAGCAGCCATGATTTTCTCCACACCTCTTTTACTCCTGCACTGATTAATGCTTTCTGAAAGTGTGTTTGACATGTGAACTGCCACAGGGAGTATCAAAACAAAACAGGCTGTTGGCCTGGTTATCAGTACTGTCTTCAGAAAGAGACTCAGGTTTACGTTTGTAGTTCTTGCTGTTTTAAACCTGTGTTTTCTTTTCTTTTCTTCCCATAAAATCTAGACCTGAACTAATGCTTTTGTTTGTCTCTTTCCTCTCCTCTCTAACCCCAGCTGGCCGAGGCAAATGGCTGTTCATCTTCAACATTAGGCCTGTCACGATAGTCAATAAATCAATTAATTGCACGATAAATTTTTTTTTTGAGGTCGGCAAAAAAAAATGAGGACGATAAGTTTCATTTTCCTGCTTGTTTGTTTACTTCGTCTCTCTCCCTCTCTGTGCTCCGCTACACAGGAGCTCAGCTGACTCCTCCCCTCCTGTTTTCTTAGTGTGGGAGGAGTCAACTCTCGCTTTAGCGTGAGAGCTCGTAGCAATAACAAACTAAAGAAACGTTTCAAAGCAGAACGCGGCTGCTGCAGTGTCGGAGCAATTGCAGAGCCTGAAATTTGCTGTGGGGAGACACAGAGAGAGAGAGAGAGAGAGAGGAGAAGGGGTGGGGGCTGAAACTCCCCCAGACCCGCGACAAACTCGTCAAGACTACCTGTAGCTCCCAAAAATAACAGGAAACTTAAACGCACCGTCTGTGTTTTAACAAAAAAACCCAAAAAACAGTAGCTGTCCCAACAACTCATGAGGAAAACTCTGAACTGTCTGATTTCCTCCCCGCAGCGCTCTGACTGTCCCCTCCTCACACACACACAGACACGTTTGTTCTTCTATCCTCATGGGGACTTTGCATTGACTTTCATTCATTTACCAGTATTTTCTATTACCATTTGAACCTAAACCTAGCCTAAACTTTACATAGGATGTGAACTGGGTGGGCTTATGTCCCCATAAGAAACAGTGGGTCCTCACC